TCCCACGGTGTCATCATAGAGACCGAGGTGACCCTGCTGCTCTACATTATCACCCTCTCTTCTGAGGTTGTCTTTGCAGTGAATAACCTCACCCACCCCTTCCCTGACCCTGCTCCCTCAGGCCTCACCTTCTGATACTCTTGTTTGTTCAGTGAAGACATAAAAGACCACGGGGACTGCCTCCTTCCCAGGATTTTATGAGGGGCTCAAGAGTCAGACTCCACCTCTTCCATCTCCCATGGGCTGAGTATGTGAGATGGGTCCTTGTCATGGACAAAGTCAAGTGTGTGTTGTAGGATGGCATGTCTGTCTACCACCTCTGAGTGTCAGGAAAGTAGGGTTAATTTCACAGTTGTCAAGTCACTGAAGAATACACTGTGACATTTAGGGGCAATAGCACCAACTGAAGCTGTGAAACTCCCTCCCCCTGCCTGGAGGAGAGTCCACCCCTGTCTGGTCCCTCTCCAGATGGTGACAGTTCTCTCTGGATGTGAGCAGGTAGATTCACACTCGATAGTGAACTGCCTGTGAGGGAAGAGTGAAGAGAGACTTTGGTTTGTAACAAGGCTGAGAGAATTTTGTGACTTGAAGGATAAGGGCTAGCAAACCAGTCCTTTCTACTCTGAATCAATTACATCAGCTCCTTGGCTTGAAGTCATTGTGAACATGAGTACAAATCTAGGTCTACAATCTTTTCCGAGGCATGTGAACACTAGGTGGATGTAACATAAAGACATGGGAATATGTAGGTGGCTGACCTTCAACACTGACCTTGAATACCATTCAGTTCAAGATCATCCCTGGTGTGGTGGATAAGAAGTTTCAGCCCAGGAACTCCCTCGAACTGCTGACCTCTGCTGATTTTCACCCTGTCCACAGCATCATTGATGTCAATGTTGACTGGTACAACTTAGCCGTCGACATGGTGAGGTGCAGTTCCAACCCCTTTGATCCCGGGTAACTCATCTGGTGGGTGGTGGGAGCTCAGAGATCCACTAGATAATGTCCATTCTTCCATACACTGAAGATTGTTCTCTGCCTCTCAGATCATGGACTTTGCCTACATCATAAAGAAAATAACCAGAGGGACACTTCAGGCTGCACTGAACAGCACAGCACACAGATGATGAGATTCCATGGGTCTTGCCCTAGTAGAGAGAGCTTCCACATATCCTGCTCATATTGAAATCTGCAGAAACAAAGCCTGTGGTATGTGGGATTACCTGAAGCTTTACCCTCATTCCCTTTGACTTATTCTTTCCCAGGCCCCATCTCCCCACCTGAAGCTGCTGCCTCCTTTCCAGGACCCTGCTGAGTGTGGGAAAGTACTTAGGAGACACTGAAGATCCCAATACTCTGCAAGTACAGTTCTAGTAGATGATGGGGGACTTTGTGTTCATGATCCCTACCTGTACATAGCATGCATTCTGAGTGAGTACATCTAGAAAGATGCCTTTGTGATGAGGCTCCAGCTCAGTGACAGAACACCTTGCCTCATATGAACGATGTCATTGGTTCAAACCCTAGAACTGAAAAAAAAAGAAGGCTGACTCCCAGGAGGCAACTCAGAGCTGTGGGTCACAGGTGATTCCCGTGTCCCCATATCCCCATTTACATATTTATTTTGTTTCTTGTATCATGTACCAAAGGTCCCTCATCCTAGAAATTCCTCATATCTAGTGTGAGTGTGACACCTAGGTACAGATGCAAAAACAGGTTAATGATACTCTATGAGTTGCCCAGATGCAACTTAGAGGTCACTTAGATTGACATTTAAAATAACCCACTCATTCATCTATTTCTTCCCCAAGAGGTGAGTTATACAATCTTTTTAATAAGTCTGGAAATGTCCATAAGACCTTTAAGTCTGAGGCAGTGTACGGTGTGTGTGCATGTGTGTGTGCATGTGTGTGTGTGTGTGTGTGTGTTTCTGTGTGTACTCTGTGCCCATCCCCCCATATGGTGATACTAGGAAGCCTACTTTTGCATGCCCAGGATATCTGTGAATATGTACAGCTGTGATGTGTATCTTGAAGGTAGGATGGAGTATCAGAAGGTCCAGCCATGAAAGCAGAAAAGATTGCTATCAGAAGCATAGCAATATATTGTCTCCATGAGCAGCTCCCCTGAAGCCCGCAGGCTCCCCATGATGCTTGTATTTCCCTTCATCTTTCATGTTACTCATTTTCAATCCTATCTTATTGCTGTCCCTAAACATTTTGATCCTTCAGTTTAAAACTGTCTTATACAAACATGACAAATTGTGCTCTATCTGCCTGTGTTTCCCCAAAGCATTTTCTCTCTGCCATTGAGAGGCTGGATCCTTTGTTTTTCCTGCGTTGCCCACCCTGAATACCAGGGGACAGGAGAGAGATGCTTCAAACCTTCAGCCTGGGCTCAGGAGCTGGGCAGAGGGAAGAACCTGTCCTCTGAGTGAAGGACTAGTGTACGATACTTCCAAGGCCTGAAACATTACTGAATTCCTGCTGCAAACTCACCTCTCTGTGGTTTTCATTTCTGACAATGCCCAGGACACTTCATCAAAGGGGATTTTAGACTTTCAGTAGCTGTGTTATTTTTGAAAAGCTTAATTGTGGAATAATTTCTATGTAATTAGATTTATAGCATAGTTTGATAAATTTGCCTTCCTCCATCCACCCGCTCGCTCTCTCTGCCATTCCAACCTAACAAGACCCACATGATGGAAGGAGAAAAGTACCTTACACCGGCTGTCCTCTGAATTCCAAATGTGTGCCCTGGTGTATGAGAGTGCCCACACATACATATAATGAATAATAAAATAAATAAGTGAATAAATAAATAAATAAATAAAGTCACAGGGCATGGTAGCACACACCTTTAATCTCAGCACTTGGGAGGCAGAGGCAGGTGGATCTCTGTGAGTTCAAAGCCAGCCTAGTCTACAGACTGAGTTCCAGGACAGCTGGGGTTACAGGGAGACCCTGTCTCAAAAATTTTTTTTTCAAAATAATAGTAATGTCAAGCAGATAAATGCCAGTGAAGTTGATCTCGGCAGGTGTTAGCCACTAGAGTAGCCACATTTGGAGGACGGAGTATATAGGAGATGCATACTTAAGACATGCCAGAACAGTATTGTATTTCAATGGAACAGTCATGACCTAATGGGAGGGGTACATGCAGATCCTAAGATCATTACAGGGTACCAGGGACTCTGAAGGTAGGTTCAATAAGCTATGAGTCTTTTTAAAAATACTTTGTTTTTTAATTTTTGCCATTTTCATACAATGTCATTTCATGGAATTTACATCCCCTCCCCATCTTTACTTTGCCTTATTGCCTCCTGCCTGATTTAATGTACTCTAATATATATTTAATAAGGCCTGTACAGTCTATTGTGGGTCTCCAGATGTCCCTCAGTGTGGGGTCCATCCATGGAGCCCGATTAACTTACCAGGAATCTCATACTTGAAATAAACTGTCTCTGATGATACCAGCAACCGTCTGTTACCACAATTTCCTTAGGTGAGGTTGGAGTTTCTTATCCACTTTCTCATATTATACTGGAATATTCCTGGATTGAGTTTGTATGGGACTTGTGCATGCTGTCACCATTGCTGTGAGATCAGATGGGTAACTGAACAACTGTCTGGAAAACTGCTTCCCTGTGGTCATCAGCCACCTCTGACTCTTACAGTCTTTCTGCCCTCCCCCTTCTGCAATGATCCCCGAGACTTGATGGAGAGAAGTTTGATATAAGTGTTCCATTGAAGGATAAGCACTCTGAAGCCTCTTGTTCTCTGCATGTTGACTAGTTGTGGGTTTCTGTGTTAATCACCATCTGTTGCATAAGGAAACTTCTATGGAGAGAGTTAAGAGGTTCTCCCATATGTCCTGTGGTCTGTCTAGCCTCAGGCTCCATATTAGGAGATGAACCTTAAATCCAATCAAAGAGTGGTTGGTTACTCCCATAATATTTGTGCCACTATTGTTCAAATAAGCATATCTTGCCAGGTCTGTTGTTACTGTTAAACTATGAATCTTTTTTTTTATTTTAATATTTTAACATTTTTTTATTCGTATGAGTGTTTTGCCTGCATGGATATAAGTGCACCCATGTTATGCAAAGCTAGTGAAGTCAGAAGAGGGCATTGGATCCCCTGGAACTAGAATTAAGGATAGTTGCTAGCTACCATGTGGATACTGGGAACTGAAGTCCAGTCTTCTGCAAGAGCAGCTAGTGTGGTTAACCACTGAGCCATCTCTCCAACCCCAGGAATGATATTTTTGATGAGGTCTTAGGTTGGTTTATAAGTATTTTATTGAGAAATTTGCATCTATGTTCATCAAGGAGATCAGTCTGTAATTTTTTTTGTGGTGTCTTATCTGGTTTTGATATCACAGTAATACTTCATAAAAAGAGTTTGGAAGGCTTCTATCCTTTTCTTTCAGGCCCTCTGGTAGTTGGAGGCCAGAGGGGAGCCAGAACACAGCACTCTCTGGTGGTCTGCTGAGCTCCCAGCAGCTACCCCAGTGGAGGAGGTCTGAACCCAGCCTCTCAGGCTGTCTGCTAGCTAAACTGTGAATCTTAAGAGTACAAAAGAGTCTTCAAGATGAAGATCACACTCAGAGCTCCCTATGCTTAAATGCTATTACTCATGTGTGACATCTTGAGTACATACCTACTCAGAGAAGCCCTCCTGGTTTCTCCTGTTACAACTTTCTGCTCCCTGATCTCCAAAACACCACTCATGTTGAGCTGGTCAGTACAAAGATAGGGATCCTGATGATGCTAAGTTTGAGGAGAGGGTTACTGGTATCCAGATATACTGCAGAAGCCATGCTGTGCCTTTCAAAGAAGACAAAGGAGGAGAAACAACCCAGGTGACTTTGCTCCAACTGCTGGCCTTTCCCTAATCGGACAGTTCTTTGGGCAATAAAAAATTTGCCTCACCCAACCAAGTTCCCCGCCTACATTCTTTTTACTTCAAATTCCTGCCTGAACAAGGTCCACACACTGTGTTTGCTCTCTGTGAAAGGAGATCACCCTGCTGCAGCACAGACTCAGGCCTAGGAGCCAATCATGCCACTGGACAGATTTCCTGGCTGGCTGAATGCTGTGGCCTGTGGGTTCCTGCTTCTCCTGCTCCACGTTCAGGGTAAGACACCCTAGGGGTGCACTGGGGAAGGAAAGGTATCAGAGCTGCAAAATTCCGCAGACTCAGAGCCTGAGATGGTGGGAGGGAAGGCACCAAGGATGGAAGACGTGGTAGAAATGATAGATGACAGAAACATGTGCCTCCCAATGCCCTCATCAAAGATCACAGGATGAACCCTATAGCACACAGAAGGTCATAGATATCTAAGGTCATCCCATACAGAGGCACCAGTTTAGTGTGAAGAGCTCTGAGGAGAGCTGAAACTGTACATCAGGGGAAAGAAGGACCGAAGGGACATTTCCCTCTCTATGTGTCTGTGACATTAGCTGCTGCTGAACTTTGGATAGTAGCAATAATACCTTCATGCTGCCACAGTGTGTTAACTCTTCGGCACCCTTCCAAAGAACCTGGGCAAGGTTCCTAGCCCTGGACAAAAAACAGCCCCTCCCAATCCCACAGCTGAACTGAGAGACCCAGGATTCCCCTTCACACTGCATACCCTGGTCACAATGAGAAAGGCATTCACTCATTCAGTGTGGTGCTAGCTGATCAGAATGAACAAACACTGATAGAAAATCTTCACCTACAGGCCAGGAATCAGATAGTCCCATCCGGACCACATACACGGGGCAGGTGCGAGGCAGTTTCGTCCATGTGAAGGATCAAGTGGGAGTCTATAGCTTCCTGGGAATTCCCTTTGCCAAGCCACCTGTAGGACCACTGCGGTTTGCACCCCCTGAGTCCCCTGAACCATGGAGTGGTGTGAGAGATGGGACATCACAACCAGCCATGTAAGTACTGGGACCCTAGAGGCTGGAGTGAACAGGTAAACTGAACTCTGGACCACACTGTAGTTCTTCCTCCATCTCAGCCCCACTGCAGTTTTCTGTGTCAGGGAGAGTCTCTGCTGCATTTTTCTAATGCATGTGCCAAGACTTAGATTGAAGAAACCTTGCCAGGCTCCTGAGTCAGAGTCTGGCCCCCATAAGAAGTTAGATACTACAGAGAGGAGCCAAGACAAATTGTTTCTATGTTCAGACTTTGCAAGTATCTCTGCCATGATGGGAGGCGTCTCTGGGCAGGAGTCAGTGTAACCTGCTAGGCAGTAGGAACCCCTGAGTCCATTAGCACACACTGCAGGTCCCTGAGAGGGGCAGTAGTGGGTCCTTGGCAATAACACCCTCAACAGTCAACTGTTATAACCAATAACGCCAACTGCCAGTGACCAGAGACCAAGTATATGTGCGTCCATATGGAGACTGTAGAGGAGGTTTCCTGAGAGCCTGAGCAGGGGATGAATATGCTCCACTACCCTCTGGGACAGTATTGTCCATTCATTCCTATAGTCCTTTTGTGGGCACAGCACCCCAATAACCATGTATCTTACCTTCATTTTCTGATACTGACAAAAGCAACTGAGGGGTGAAAGGTTGTATTACAGGTCACAATTCTAAGTTATATTTCATCCTGGGGGGAGACAGAGCAGCAAAAGCTCAAGGAGCTGATCATGTCACATCCATAATCAGAACAGAAAGTAAAGAATATGTGGATGCCTGGCCGTGCTCAGCTCACATTCTCTACTCCTAAACAGTTCAGAAGCCCATTCCTAGGAAATAGTGCCACCCACAGTGCGCAGGTCTTCCCACCTCAGTTAAAGTAATTAAGATAATCCCCCACAAGCATGCCCACAGCCAATCTGGTCTAGACACTCCCTCATTGAGACTCTCCTCCCAAGAGATTCTAAATTGTGTAAGTCAACAATCACAACTAACCATCACCACAGGTGCTAAGGAGTACAATGAGAAGTTTTGAATGTCACCTCATGCAGCCAATCATTTTCAAAGAGACTCCTAGAAGTCTCCATAGCCCAGTCTCAGGAAGAGTAACATCCAGACCACATACAAATAGACCTGGATCGAAGTCTGGGCTCGATCCCACCTTCCACAGAACCGGTGCCCTTTACTTTTGTAGGAAGGAACTGCAAAGAAGGGTCTGGTATAGCATCATGGAGAACAGCAGCTGAAGGTGGCTGAGAGCAAACCCAGACTCAGGCCTGGTTTTGGTCACCACACATCTCTTGGTAAAACTTCCTTCCACTGTCATCAGGTGTCTACAAAATTCTGATATGCTGAGTTCAGAGGGTCTGAATAAGATGAAGCGGATCATGCCTCCCACCCCCATGTCTGAGGACTGCCTGTATCTCAACATCTACACACCAACCCATGCCCATGAAGGCTCTAACCTGCCTGTGAGTATCAGGATGTGGTCAGTGGATAGGGAATTTTGTCTGTTGGTTGAAGGACAAAAGCAACCTGAGTCCCTCTGTAAGGTAGACCTTGATAAACAGCCTTATTCTGTTGGGCTCAAGAAAGACATCTTAGCCATGATGAGCAGCTGAAACCTTGGTATAGGGTACAGAGCTCTGGAGATCTGAGAGGTCAGAGACTCTAATTAAACCTGGAGTCACTATCAACTTGAGCCCTGCACAGCAACTCAGGTGCTCAAGACTGAACACTTAGGGTACCTAAATTTCTAGATATGGATTATCTGTTGTAGCATGAAATATGATGATGCGGGACTGGAGAGATGGCTCAGCGGTTAAGAGCACTGACTGCTCTTGCAGTGGACTTGGGTTAGAGTCCCAGAACCCACATGGTGGCTGCAAACCATCCTTAACTCCACTTCCAGGGGAATACGAACCCCTCTTCTATTTACATTGCATGACATGGGTGCACTCACGTACGTGCAGGCAATACACTCATACACATAAAATTAAAATAATAAGTAAAATAAAATAAAGAAATATTATGCTTTTGAAAAAAACAGGAGAGATACCCACGGGGACTCCTCTTTCATTCCACAGTGAGGATCCAGAGAGTAATGTTGACATTACTCTCTTTCCAGAGCCATTAATCTAAGCCAAGATGCATGATAGGGATGAAGGCTAGAAATATACTTATGGGGCCACTACATTTCCACACCTGTGGCCCAGATCTTACCGTACTAAGAAGTTCTCTATATATTTATACCTGCGCAGTGTTAAAGAAGTTGATAATCTATTAGGCAGTTCAGGTAGAGCTTGAACTATCTAGAAGTTTCCTCGCATCCATTTTGATTTTCTCAGGTGATGGTATGGATCCACGGTGGTGGACTGGTTAGAGGTGCGGCTTCAGAGTATGATGGAGCCCTACTGACAGCCACTGAGGATGTGGTGACGGTCTTTATTCAGTATCGTCTTGGTGTCCTGGGTTTCTTCAGGTGAGCTAGGGTTTGGGCTGGATAATAAGGGCTGAGAGAACTAGGGCAGCCTATAATCTCTATTCTTGCCATATCTCAGCACTGGAGACCAGCACGCCAGAGGCAACTGGGGCTACCTGGACCAAGTGGCTGCCCTACGCTGGGTCCAGCAGAATATTGCCCACTTTGGAGGCAACCCTGACCGGGTCACTATTTTTGGAGAGTCAGGAGGTGGCACAAGTTCGTCTACTCTTGTTCTCTCCCCCATGTCCAAAGGACTCTTCCACGGTGCCATCATGGAGAGTGGGGTGGCCCTACTACCTAACATTTTCTCTGACACCTTTGAGGTGGTCTATAGGGTAAGTGCCATCAACCACACCAGCCCTGACCCTGCAGCCTCAGCCCCACCTCTGACACTTTGGTACTCTGTTTGTTGATGAAAACAAAGACCACCACAAATAGCTTTCTTCCAGGATTTTATGAAAGACTCAAGTGATAGCATCTACTCCCTTTTGCTTTATATGTACTGGGTATGTTATTTGACCTTCAAAGCTGCACCTAGCAGCTTATAATATGAGCAAAACGTATGCATGGGCTGAAGAGATGGTTCAGAGGGTAAATTGCTTGCTATACAAGCTTAAGGACATGAGTTCAAATCCCCAGAACCTGTGCAAAGCTGGATGTGGTAATACACATCTGTAATCAGAGTGTTACTATGTCAAGATGGGAGGCAGACACAGAAGAAATCCTGGAAGTGTCCAGTTCAGATAGGGAGTTGCAAATATCATTTAAACAACATGACAACTTGTCTCAAAAATGTAGAAAGTGAGACCAGGGAAGTAGGATTGTACTCCGAACTTCAAATGCAAATAGTGGTACATACTCCCAAATTCATACATGAACATGAACATACAGACACAGTGGGGAGAGAGAGAGAGAAAGAGAGAGAGAGAGAGAGATCTTTTCAAAGTATGCAGGTAGAATTGTCCCTATCTTGACTGCCATCACCAAACAATAGTAAAATGACTATAATTTCATACTTACTCCAGTCTACACACAGCACGCAGCACGATATGTTATTTAGGGTCAAAGGCATCCATTTGGGCTTAAGAAAATGCTCCTTTCTGCCTGGAAAATGAGCTAGCCCTTGCTATTTACAGCCAGTGGTCAAACTATCCGGATGTGAGGCCATGGACTCAGAGGCTGTGGTGCGCTGTCTGCGAGGCAAGAGTGAAGAAGAGATTCTGGCTACTAACAAGGTTGGGAGAATTGTGCGGCTGGGAGAACCAGGTCAACAGGTTGTGGGAGAGCCAGTCTTAACCAATTACTGCATCTTCGTGGCTTAGTTTCCTTCTATTCGTGGGAACAAAATAAACACCAAGATAGGCTAATCTACATGTGGACTGTCTTTGGTGGGGGTGGAGATAGGTAGGAGAGAGATACATGCTGAGACCAATAAGGAAGTAGAGAAATGATAGAATAACTCAGAGGGCATAAGAATATGCATGTAATTGAACTTCAACACTGATCTCTAATGCCCTCCAGGTTTTCCAGATAATTCCCGGTGTGGTGGATGGGGCTGTCCTACCCAGGCACCCCCAGGAGCTGCTGACCTCTGTGAACTTTCACCCTGTCCCCAGCATCATTGGTGTCAACACTGATGAATATGGCTGGATCGTCCCCATTGTGAGTCACAGTTCTGATCATCTGGGAACCTAGGGAATCATATGGTTCTGATCATCTGGGAACCTAGGGAATCATATGGTGAATGGTGGAGATTCTAGGAACAAGGTCCCTCCCACCCCATGCTGAAGACTGTTCTTTGCCTCTCAGGTCATGGGCACTGCTCAGAGCATAAAGGAAATAACCAGAAAGAACCTGCAGGCTGTTCTGAAGAGCACAGCAGAACAGATGGTGAGATTCCTTGGGTCATGTCCTGAAATACAGGCTCCCCATATACCTTCTCAGACAGCACCCCCAGAAATAGTTTACTAAATGTGTGTGTTTCTGTGTGGAGATTACTCTAGACCTTTAGCATTTTCCTTTATTCCCTATCTCCTCTCCCTGAGGATGTTGTCTCCCTATCCAAGAGCCTGCCTAACTTCTTTACTTTTTTCATTTTTAATACGTTTATTGAATTTTTGTGCATTTCATATAATACATCTTAAATGTAGACCCCCTTTCCCCTCCCTGCCCCCTCCCTGCCCCCATAGTCCCTGGAACATATTTCAGGTGTTCTGTCATATATGGTCAAGCACTTCTATCCAGATGTCCCTTGGTGGAAGTTCATCCACTGGAGTCTAGTCAGCCTACCTAGATTATCTCTAGACAAATGAAATTTCTTGCCATATGTTAAATATGAATCCTTATATTTATAGACAAATGTACCATACACCACTAGTTTAAGAAGTCTCTTCTTACAGTAGATAAAGGCTGCTGTAGAGTTCCCCAGCTGGTCACACACAGGGAATATATGTTTGAGAGATGCCCAGCCCTGAGTGACACATCTACAGTGGAACCTCTAACCACATTCTTTATGGTGTAGGGGTTACCTTCAGAGAGTGGTGACCTGCTAATGAAGGAGTACATGGGAAACACGGAGGATGCCCAGACCCTCCAACTACAGTACAGAGAGATGATGGCAGACTTCATGTTCGTGATCCCCGCACTCCAAGTGGCACATTTTCAGCGTGAGTACATATGTAATGAGGCCTGGGGCCATCTCACATCTGTGGGTCCCAGGTGAGATCAGTGGTGTCTAGGTCAAAACTAATGTCTACATCAGGCCTTTGGCACTTGAGGGCATATTTTCAGTAAATCCTTATGTCTAAGAGAGTGACACCTTATCCAGGCACAAATTAGAAAACAAGTTACTGACACTCAGTTGTAAGTGACAGGGTCACCATTTAATCAAGAAATTCAACACAGCTTGTGCTCTAGCCTGGGCCCCCATACTCAAATGTGAATTGAGATAACTTTATACCAAGGGATGCTGTCACCAAATCTGTGGCAAGACAGCTCCAGGTGATGGGCCACTGTAGCACCATGTGTCCTTGTCCCTAGGTTCCCATGCTCCAGTATACTTCTATGAGTTCCAGCATCCGCCTACCAGCCTCAAGAACATCAGACCGTCCCACGTGAAGGCTGATCATGGCGATGAGATACTTTTTGTCTTTGGGTCCTTCCTTGGGGGCATCAAACGTGAGTCTTCCCTGTTTTCCTTGAGCTAATGGGCTCCCAGATGGGTACCTGTGGGATGTCTGCACTGTCAGTCCAGGTGAGGGAACCAAGATTCTGGGCTAGGACAGGATCAAGTACACAATACCTCCAAGCTCAAAAACCTATGAGGGTTAGAATCTGCACCCTTCTCAGTCTATTCTATGAAAAAGGATACGAGGGCACATTGGAGGGGTATCAATCTAAGAGAATTGAATTAGAGGATCTAAGATGGATACTGAATCCAGATGTGTAGGGAGGGCCCAAATCAGACCAAGAATTCAGGGTCAGGCTACAGTTGGGGTGGTGACTCTGGAGCATGAGTGGGCACCTCATGAGGTGTCAAGAACTTGGACCTTTGTCTTTCTCATGACTACAGTTGACCTCACTGAGGAGGAGAAACTTCTGATCAGTAGGATGATGAAGTACTGGGCCAACTTTGCAAGAAATGGGTGAGAGCATGCCCCACCCTAAACTCCTCAGTGATTGGTCCCCATCCAGGTATCCATTTGTGGTTTGTGGCCTCATTAGCATGCATGATGAGTCCTTCATCACATGATAGGGTTGTCTCCACTCTAGTGCACGCTTTGACACATTGAAGGTGTCATCCTCTGCACATTCCTCCATGACCTGGCCAGTGGGCTATGGTGTTTTGGAACTGCTCTTTAGATCTTGCCTCTGAGAGTTAGGAAGAGAGGACACTAATAGCTTTGTCATTCATGGAGCATACACTAGTCTTGTTTCCTTAATGGGGATACCTGTCTGTCAGTCCCCTCAAGCCCAGTACCCTGCCCAAATCAGATTGTCGGGATCAGAGTGAACTTCAACCATCCTTGTGGGGGCATATCTACAGGAACCCCAACAGCGATGGCCTACCCTACTGGCCCATGTATGACCAGGATGAGCAGTACCTGCAACTGGACATCCAGCCTACTGTAGGCCATTCTCTGAAGGCTGGAAGACTGCAGTTCTGGACCAAGACCCTGCCCCAAAAGATCCAGCAGCTAAAGGGGGCTCACAGACAACACAAAGAACTGTAGTGTCCCATATCAGGATAAATGTGGGGTTTGAGTGCTATAATAGGATAAGCCCGAGGTTCCCAAAGGAGCCTGGGTTGATTCCAATAGTCACTTAAACATTCCTAATCTCTGCATTTCTCTGTTCTCCTATGTATGTAATGAAATCTCTGCATGTCACTCCTCACTCATCCTGCAGGATCATCTTTTGTTAGACCCACTTGGTCAATGGTCCTGTAACAGTGCAGATGTGTGTGCCTCAAAGTGCCTCTATCTCTTTTTACATTCCACTGGGACTACCCTCCTTCCTTCCTTGACTTGTCTTCTCCCATCCTCTCTCTTCCCCAAGCACTTGACCGTCTTCAAATGAAGCAGATTCTTTAGGGATTATTGACTAATGGGGATCAGTTGTGTCAAAATCGTATTTTCTCATAAGTATAAATGTCCAGTAGAAAACCTAACTCCCAAGAACTCTATTATCTTCATAAGTTCAAGATGCTGTTCAGTTGGGTCATAAACTGCAAGCTAGACTCTGTGTCAGGTATCGTTGGCCTCAGATATACAGAGGCTGTAGCAAAACATTGAGTGAGTCTAGAAGTTACAGGCCAGCCCAAGCAATCTATTAGGAGTCAGATCTCTAAAGCAAAACCAAAAGATGGTAACCTGGATAACTTACAACAGAGTTGTATGTATGATATTGTGGACCAAAAGCATCAGAATAAAATGTTATCAGATATGCTGGGTAGTGAGGGCTAGGTATCTGGATCAGAGATTACACAGTGTCTTCACTGGGTAGAGTAGGTAAAGAGTGACACTGATGATCCTCCAAGCTTCCCAGGTCTTAATATCATCATATTACAGATTACATTCAGCAAATGAATTTGAGTCACAGAAGCTTTCGTGCCATAGTTCCTAAGCTCTCTGACATCAGCCACTGAGGAGGCCAAATACAGAAAAAATTTCCATGTATTGTACTTATATATGAAATCTGGTCTATTTCTTTTCTGAATGTTGCCAGACCCACTTTGGCGAGAAGCAGAACTGGGCATGTTCATGGGCCCTACAAGCTGGGCCTACAAGGGGGCTGGCCAGCGGGTTGAAGTAGATTCTCAGTGACCCACCTTCTGAAGTTTTCTCTTACTCTCTGGAGTCCTGCAGACACTGTGAAGTCCATGTTTGTATAAGGTGTTGGACAATGGGGTTTGTCTCGGAAGTACAATGGGGGCAGGGGGCGTCAATAGGTAGCAGAAAAATTCCTTCCCTGGACCCCTGAGGGCATCTCCACATATGGAAAGGTCTGTCCGCTTTTCATTTCTCCTGAAATTTCCTGATACCTTAATCGTTCCTTGCTCTTGATTGTCCACGTGTTCAACTTTCATTCCTACATTACTGTTGCCCTTGAACTCTTCATCCACACCAATACAAAGTCTCTTGTATTTTATGTCATTTACAAATGCACCAAATTGTGCTCCATCTGTCTTCTTATTCCTTCAAAGTCTTTTCTCTGTTATTAAGAAGGTATGGGCTTTTAACTTCAATACTCAAGGATCTCCCTTTCCCTGCACTTCCGAACAATTTGCCCTTCTTACTCACCAGTTTGTCCTGGGCAAGTCCTTTTTCATCCACTCCATTGAATTCCATGACCTTTAGGTTGAAAGCAAAGATTACTGTGTTACCTGTCCCCGACACCAGGGAACATACAGAGAAAATGTTCAGCCTTGGGTCGGCAGCTCAGCAGAGCTGTCACTGTGGCCTGAATGTAGTATTGAGCTCCTGATGAGACCAGGAGTTAAGTGACCGCCACCAAACAACGTGCATAGGGCCTCAACCTTTGAGGCTTGCACTGGTGAAAATTTTTGTTTGTTTGTTTTGGTTTTTGTTGCCATTTATTTGCCAACTGCAGCTGAAGGCTTCCTGGTCCTAGAAAAAACACAGAGTCAAACAACTGGCATTACCCAGGTTGGCAGCTCTTGGCTGCTTCCCCTACAGTCCCCTTCTGTTTGCAACGCTCTCTTGTACATAAGCAAAAGAAGAACAGTGAGCCCTTCCTGTTGTCATGGTGACCATTGATCTTGATCCCAGTCGCAGCAACCTTTGTACTACTCTCCTCTTCGGCTCTCCCTTCCTGATGCTCAATAAACATCTTTTGTTATTGAATTCACAAATTGTATGCAGTTTCATTTCTCAGTCTTGTGAGTGATGAGCAGATTTCTTCACTGGTACTGGGAGTCCTTGTAGAACTTTGCACCAACACCAAGCCCTCCTGAGTCTTCTGACCAGTCTCTGTCACCGTGAAGGAGATAACCTGAGCCTCACTGCTGCACACTGTGTGCTTTTCCTTTCTGCCTCTGTCTCTGGTCTGGTTTTCTCTATTTCCTGGTCCACCTTATTTACCCAGACCTCACCCACCACAAGCTCTTGCTTCCATGCCTTCCCTGCTGTGATAGACTGAGGCACTCTGAAGCCAGAAGCCAAAATATGTTCTTATCATTTACATCCAATTGAAACCATGCACTTTAGCCCCATCATTTGGTGAATTTGATCAAACATTTGACATAAGCATCTACTCTCCCACTTCAGCCATTACAAGGCTTTTCACTATTGCAGCTCCCACATGCCCTCAGGCAATGCCTTCAATTGTTGTATTTACCATCTGTACATAGTTTGGAAACATTCACGCTCTTTCTATCATATCATATAAAAGGAATCATTTGTGACAAGCTATTATTAAGCACAGTGACTTTGAGATTCAAGCAGTATTTCTCTCCTTTTATTGCAGAGTGCTATTTTGCCCACTCAGCAGTGGCACATTTTAAGACTGTCTTTTGGCAGGGAGAGGTTATTTTTTAGACAAGGTCTCACTATATAGGCATCCTGGGGTCACACCATCCTCCTACTCAGCCTCTTCAGTACTGGAATCGCAGGTGTGCAACACCAGGCTATTTTAATCAAATTGTTATGGTCATTTGCAAACATAACCTGAGTGATCATGTTTTCAAATCTTTCAGTAAAGACAGATGTATAGAATTGCGGAGTCCTGTGACAAGTGTGTATCTTTAACTTTTAAAGACTGTGCCAGACTGCCTTCCCAAGTGGTTGTGTTATTTTCATCCCCTGTTGCCATGTATGAGATGCCAGTTGTTCCATATCCTCACCTACACTTGGACATACGCTGTGTTTCACAAGGATTACATTGGATGATGTGTCATCGTGTCTTGTAAATATTTCCCTGAATTTTTATTTTTGTTTTAATTTTTCTTAGCAGTGTGTTGTTTTGTTTCTCCTTTGTTTTTCGTATTGTTTCGTTTCTGGATAGGGTCTTGTTCTATGGGCGGGATAGCTTTAGTTGTCAACTTGACACACCCCCGGGTAGAGGGAGCCTCAGTTGAGGAATTTCCTCCATTGGACTGGCTTGTAGCCACATGAATGGGGTATTTTCTTGAATGTTGAGTGATGTGGGAGGACCCAGCCCACGGTGGGCAGTGCCACCCTTGGGCAGGTTGTTCTGAATTGTGTAAGAAAGAAGGCTGAGTATAGGTCAGGGGAGCAAGCCAGTAAGCCTGCCTGTGCTTCCCTTTTCTCTCTTTTTCAGTTGTTTTCTCTCTCTCTCTCTCTCTCTCTCTCCTCTTTCTCTCAGATGACTGTATGCATCAGTTTTCTTCCAGTTGCAGTGTAGCTCATCCTAATTCATTCCAACACTAAGATTGAAGCAGAAGGATTCGATTCCTAGGCCATCTTGAATCCATGTCAACATTGCCTCAAAATCATCCTTATTCATTCCAACACTAAGACTGAAGCAGAAGGATTCGATTCCTAGGCCATCTTGAATCCATATCAAAATTGCCTCAAAATGAAGAAATGAAGCAATCTACCCCCTCATTGGTTACTGTGTGAAGTGGCACCTTGGCTCATTTTTGTGAGAAGCAGGACCAGTCATATACAGAACCTTGTGCCCTGGGCCACCCATCACTTGGGATGGATATGAAGAGGACCAGGCAGATTCCTCAGTGGCAGATCTTCTGACATTGCTTTAGTGCTGTTTCCTCTGCAGACACTGTGAGGGCCACACTTCTTAAAACCACACATTCAGGCCTGATCCACAGCCTGATCGGATCATGCATCCCTGTAGCTCTCTCTTGGACAGACGTTCTAATCTCTGTGCTGTGACTTGACAGCTCTCAACTTATGGCTCCCCCATGCTCCTTGTCACATGTGTTGTATTGAACTAAATCACATGATGTGGAACTTCTCACCACCAGAAATGTTATTTAAAGTTAGACCTTTACTTCGGAGATTTGTCCAAGACTCCTCAGGAGACTGCTGGGGGCCTGGGTCCAGAGATGCTCTCTCAAGATCTGAACATATTAGACTCTGAAATCTCTCTCCTCATGGATTGTCTCTCTCTCTCTTTCTCTCTCTCCCCTCCCTCCTCCATTTCTTTCTCCCTCTCCCCTCTGTGTCTCTTTTTCATGCTTACTCTCTTTTTAAATGTGCATGGGTATTTTGCCTGCATGTATGTAAACTCACCCATGCACCCAATGCCTGTGGAGGTCAGAAGAGGGCATTGAATACCCTGGAAATGGAGTTACAGATAGTTTTTAACTATCATGTGAACCCAGGTCCTCTACAAGAGCAGCCAGGGTTCTTAACTGCTGAACATCTTCCTAACTCCTCTCACTCTTAATGAAGCTCCTTTCCAGGCTCTGAAGAGAAGCTTCTCCTTCCTTTTAAGGCCCCATCAAGTTCAGATATCTCTATATGTTGTGTTGTTTCTGTCTGAAACTCTCCCTCCCACCTCAAGGTATGGTCGTGACTTTGAGTCCCTTTCATTATTATGAATCTCATTGAAGGGACTTATGTGTCAGCCTCCTCTGAGGACCCACCACGAAATACTGTTCTGCTTCTTTTTAACAACACTCACATGGTCATCTTACATCTCAGAAAAGGTCATCCGTGAGATCTTCCTTGGATATGGGATTGGTGGGAGACAGGAGGTGTCACTTTCTTACTGCTTCCCTCCCACAACAAACCAGGTAACATGATTACATTGAAACACTTTGCATTGGTTGGAGAATTTGGAAATGGCAAACTCACATTACAGCAACATATGGAAAAACTTACATACAGTACAGAAAAAGTGAAATAATTCATTCTATTTGATTGCACTAGGGATCTAATTCGACAGCCAGAGAAGACATAGAACATATACGATCTCATGGTGACTAAAAAACATGTTCTTGAGATGAATGTGTCACTGAAGAAAACAGGAAGGAAAATTTAAATAAATTTCCTAGAATCAAATGAAAATGAAAACACCCCACACCCACGAGATACATAGCAGGCCTAAGATGGAAGTTTGGAGATCTAATTGCGTAATATAAAAACTCAAATGTCCATCTTAGTATCCATTCATGGAATCCTCAAGCATGCATCTCCTTAGCGAAGCCAGAGTCTCCAGTTCCAGCTTTCAGCTCCCTGCTCTCCACTCCAACACCAACGCTGGGCTGGTTCTACAAGGACAGCAGTCATGGTAACTCCAGTCTGGAGTGAGGGTCAGTGGCATCCAGAATGGCTTCAGAGGCCATTCTGTGCCTTCTTAGAGTCCAAAGAAGAAGCAGAACGATCTGAGGTGGCTTTGCCCACCTAAGCACTGGCTTGTCACCTCTCCCTTGTCAGTGCAGTTCTCCTGCAACAATCAGCTTATACTGCCCAACCAAGCTCCTGCCTACACCTCTTTGGGTACAATATTTGCCTGGACAAGGCTCCTACATTCTGTTTCCTCTTGGTAAAACAAAGTCATTCCACAGCTGCATAGACTCAGGCCTGGGAGCTGATCATGGTGATGAGCCAACTTCCTGTGCTGAACCCTGTGTGTTCCAGATTCTTCTCCTTCATGTGCAGGGTGAGATGCTGTGAGGCAGAGATAGGGGCCAGGGTCAGAGATACCAATTCTGTACAGTCAGACACTAAGAAGGAAGGGAAAGAAAGAAGCCCATGGAAATGTCAGGTGACAGTGTGGGAAAGTGAGCCACCCAATGACCCTACAAAGCTGACAAGGTGGCCCCTTTAGCACACAGAGGGTAGATGATGCTTGAGGACACTCAACACTGAGGAATCTACACAGGATGAGGGGCTCTGAGTAGTCCGACCTGAAGCTCAGAGGTACCAGGCACTGGGTAAGCAAAGACTACTGATGGGACATTTTCCTCCTCTGTGTGGCTGTGTCTCTGTATCTATGGCTATTACTGATCCTTGGATAACACTGAAGTTCATGACACCTTCGTGCTACCACTGGGCTCTTACGTATGTCAGTCCCATGTCCAGAGAAGCCCA